TTGTGGCGGGCGCCTGATGGTCCCAGCTACTTGGAAAAAAAAAAAAAAAAGAATCGCTTAAGCCCAGGAATTGGAGGTGGTTATGAGCTGTGATGCCACAGCACTCTACTGAGGGCGACAGCTTGAGACTCTGTCTCTAAATAAATAAATAAAAATAAAACCTGTTTCTGCCATTTCCCACTCTGCCTCTTTCTCTCACCCCTTCGGAGCATGGATTCTGAACACGTAATCCACAGGGGACTACATAGGGGCCACGAAACCTTTTAAGTTGTATATACAACTGTGTGCATCAGCGAATGTGTATTTTTCTAGGGAGAGAGGTCCACAGTTTGCAACAAATTATTAAAGTGGAAAAGGTTAACTGAATGGAATAGTGAATGAAAAAAAGACCTGGAAAGATACTGTAGGAGTACCCGCCAAAAAGGCTGAACCACCCTTATCTCGCCAACTCATAACTTTTCAAAACATAGTGACCACCTGTTAGACGAGATTAAGCAAGATTTAATCCTTGAGAGTCTGAAAACCTGGCTTCTAGGTCCAGCCCTGTCATGAAAGAAAAGTCATTTCACCTGAGACTCTGAGTTTCTCAACTATAATATGGGGGCTGGATTTTTCTAGCTGTATGCAACCTGCAATTCTGAGGGACCCGGAGCCAGAAACCGATCCTCCAGTCTGGTCGCCCAGCGTGGCGCGGGACGCGTCACTCTCAGCAGAGCCCTAAGTCAGCGATTCTCTCCCTTTCCCCCCACTCCTGCCGGAAAGAAGCTTCACCACAGAAGCATCCCACCCCTGCCCTCAACCCTCCGTCACCTCTGCTCCCCACTCACCAGGTCAGAACCGTTCGCACCCACCACCCCAAAGCCGCGCTCCGGCTCCCACAGTATGTCCAGCTCAGCTCTCAACCGATTGGTCAGCGCCCCCACCCGTCACGCCACGGCGCCGTCTATTGGCCAATCAAAGAGCGGACTAGAGGAAGCGAGACACTCAGAGAAGGCGCACCACCATATTGGAAGAGGGCAAGACCATCATGCCTGGCACTTCAACACCAAAGTTACTCGGCACATGCGTTTCCCCAAGTTCACCCCTAAACGTTTCTGCTTCAGAAATCCCCAACGACTGTTGGACTGTTCCCTAGGTGCAGTCGGCACTCAAGAGCTCGTCTGATACAATATGACGGGAAGTCAGCGGGAAGTCCCTCTCATCGCCTTAGTTACCGGGAAGCGAGAACGATGACGTACGGCCCCGGAAGAGGGCGTGGCGCTGGCCGCAAGTAACTGAAGCAGTCGCGAAGAAGGCGTCAGTACCCGGAAAGGGGCGAGGCGAAGGGGCGTGAGGGCTATAAGCTTGGGGGCGCATGCGCTTGTGCCTGGTAGGGGAGGGGCAAATATGTTTCTAGTGTAGATTAATTAAAGTATGGTAGGTGAACCTCTTCACATTGCAAAGTTTTTCCTTTTTTTACGATTATTTTATTTTATTTTTTACATGGCAAGGTTTTCTTCCTTCCGCTTAATGGCTTCACGCTCTCAGCACCATCATGCTTAGCTAATTTTAAATTTTTTTCTAGAGATGAGGGGGGCGGTCTGTGTTGTTTAGATTGGCCTTGAACTCCGGGCCTCTGAATATCCTCCCGCTTTGGCTTTCCAAAGTGCTGGCATAACTAGCATCAACCGCCGTGCCCAGCAATTTTCAGGGAATTTTAGGAATATTTGATTTCTATGTGTGTGTTTATTTCTATAAACAGTTTCTTTAAGAGATGTCATATGTTAACCAAGACTCTACAAAGGTAATAAGACATTTTACACTCTATGTAAGGTCACCAGACGTCCCGCTTTTTAACAATTTGTCCCACGTCCTGCGGCGTTTTATAAAAGTCCCGATTTTTGGAAAGAATGCATGACAAGCTAGGGAAGGGCAGAGAACAGGAAGGGAGCATATGGTTTTCGGCTGCCATGTGGCTATTTCGCCAGGATATGAGTTTTATATTATTTTTGTCAATTTTATAATGTTAATAACAAATAATTGTTGAGAACTGCTTATCAAAGTTTGCTTTGTTCTCAGGCTCCCCCCCTACCCCCCAGTCAATGATGTCCAGCTTTACCAATGTTAAAATCTGGTCACCTTACTATGAGAGGCAAAGGGTTTTGTTGATTACAGCCATGAATACCTAACAGAGAGCTATAACTGGTTCTACAATTTTGGCCTCAGGTCAAAAGTAAACACAGAAATATAGAACTTGAATGGCCCAAATAACAAAAAGCTATTCTCCCCAGAAGGCCCGAAAGTCACCCATTTGAATGCATAAATAGATAAAAAGTTAAACAAAAAACACTAACAAATCAGATTCCCCATCATCTCTTGTCCAAGAGAGATTAGATCTTTATAAATTATTAGTTCACTTAAGAGATCACGAAATGGGGGCTGTGCCTGTGGCTCAAAGGAGTAGGGCGCCAGTCCCTATACTGGAGGTGGTGGGTTCAAACCCGGCCCTGGCCAAAAGCTTTAAAAAAAAAGAGTGATCACAAAATGGTCAGAAGATCAAATTCCTAATTGTGGTTGTCACCAGTAGGGAAAAATCCACTGGCCCTGGATGAATCAGAAACAAAAACAAACACAAAGTCAATTGAGAGGACAAAGGAAACCTAGAGAAGCAGAGAGTCAGCATCGTAGGTACTATTGCCATTTGGTAGTTACTCTGGGACCCGAGAAAGAGCTTGCCTTTTGTTCTTTAGTAATGTGGTTTACACTTAGTTCTGTCAGTTGAGTTCATCAGATGTTGGTAAAATCTCCAAAACTGTTAAAAGTGTTTTGAAAAGGTAAAATTGGCTCGGCGCCT